GGGCACGGGGGGGGTCTCTGCTGCAGACCCAGCAGAAGGCGAGACCTTTGCAGACAGCTGGAAGCAGCCGCGCACTCGCCAGCCCCAGTCCCCACGGGCTGACACTGTCCCCTCCCCACGTGCCACAGCAGTGGCCCTGCACTCACCCAGAAGTCTCCTCTGCACCCCTTTGGCTGGATCGCCTGGCACCTTGGCACGGGCCGATGCCCCCTCCTCCTCAACAACCAGCAGCTTCTCGACATTCCCATCTTTGCAGCAGAATCCGCTCTTCTCCTGGTGTGCCAAGGGAAGCTGAGAGGTGGAATCTTCTCGCTTGCTACAGCCAGAATCCGGAACCCAAGGCATCAGTACGGCTGGAAAAGCCGTTTTCAGGCCATGTGGGGATGCACTTTTACCCCCACAGCTGTGAACGTCGTGTTGGGAGATTGCAGAGAACATCACAGCGATGCAGGAGATCCAGATGTTTTATCCTCTTGCCAGACAACTGTCATGCTGGATTTAAAAATATCAGCTGTGACCCCCGGGCTGTGGAAGGCGATGCCTGCTGCCCCTGGGACCATGGGGCAGGGGCCAGACCCTGAGCCTTTGGGGGCTGGAAACTCTGTTATCCGGGGGGCGATGGGATGAAGGGGGCCCCAGCAAAGCTCCTTATTTGGTGCACAGAAGTGCTGCAGTTGGGGTGGGGGAGGATGCGAAGCAGCACAAAAAGGAACTGCTACATGCCTGCCACTCCTGTTTTTTTGACTCACTTATCAGTCACAGCCCTGCACATCTGGCTCCCACTGATAGAAATAGAAAACAAAACTCACTGCAACTCCACATCCTGTGCACGCAAGCAGCAGCTTTTGGAAACTGCCAAGTTCCAGCACAGAGAGGAGCCAGACAGGCTCAGCTCGAGCAAGGGACTGGAGCGTTGGCAGCAGAGGTGGATCAGCAACCCCCCTCAGGTGCTTCTGTGGGCTTGCACAAAGCGGCTCCTGCCCAGCCAGGGCCTCCAGCTCGTTGCCATTAAGTGTTTGCATAACCGTTGTTTATTAACTAATGGGTGGCTTCCTGACAGGAACAGAATTATCCATCCCTTAGTGACGAAAGGGACCTTAACGATCATCCAGTTCCAGTTATCAGTCCTTGGGGCTGTCCCCACCCCACACAGGACCTGGCACTTGGCCTTGTTGACCTTCACGAGGTTCACACAGGCCCTCCCCTTACCCACCAACGCAGCAAGCCCGTCATGGAAGGCCGCCCAATTTATCAGGCACACCTTGCCCTTATTTTCCATCTCCCTTAGCACAGTTTCCAGGAGGATCTGCTCGATGCCCTTGAGAGGCACAGAGACAAAGAAGCAGCAGCCGTTCCTCCCCACGATGGCCCCAAGGGGAAGGAAACAGGAAACCCCGCGGGGGG